AGAGCGTCCTCACCTGCTTTCTGTCAGTATTGCCAATGTATAAAAGAATTTGAAGACATACCAAATACACTCCTGGCGTACAAGTTCGCTGACAAGAATTGGCAGTCGCCCTTCATTGACGCCTCTGGAGTTAAGCAGCTCATGTTGGTGCATGCCATGAGTTGCTTCAAGAAATCGCGCAACGTCTTGGCCTTGGAATTGATGTTGACCTTATTCTCCCATTCGAACTCGGTCCACATTGTCCGGAATTGCGTCTCCGTGCATTGTGCGGGCTTGATGTAGTCCATAATGTCGACGTGGACATCGTTGAGAATGACAACATTGGAATCAACACCCTTTTCACTGTAGGATATTAGCAGTTGTTGCAGAGTGTTGATGCGCAGGACTTACCCCTCGTAGATGATGTTTCCGAAGATGACACCGGTATCGGTGGATGAGACTGTAAAAGTAAGTATGCGAACCGAAAAGTACAAATAGGAAAAGCCTACCCTTGATTGTTGCTTGGATGTTGATAAAGTCGTGAGGACCAACGTTCTGTGTTGAAGGACGTTCGACGACTTTGAGGTCACCAAGAGTCGCGAATTCGATTGTGAGATTTTGCAGCGTCTCAGTTGTTTGGTTCACCAGCAGAACATCAAGGACGATATCGAATTGATGAACCTAGCAGAGTTAGTAGATACCTTTAATAAGTCAGGCTAACGTACCTTAACATATGCTTCTGCGTATACCGAGTCGGAGAAACCAGTAAGTTGCACGACGCGACTGAGCTTGGATGTGAGATCTTCAGTCGCAGTGTCGCCTCCGGTCGCCCTTTCAAGATCTTGCTCGATTTCATCGCTGCCATCCGCGTCCTTCTTCTTCAGTTGGCGGATGTTGAAAGAGTCGTCAACATTGACAGCCGACTTCGCGCGTTCCGAAGCCTCCTTGGCGGCGCGCTTCTTCTCTTCTGTCTGGACCATAGTTCGGAAAGACTTGCGAGTATCTTCCAAAAAGACAGTCTCGAGCTCCTTTCTTTGCGAGAACTCGGACAGTGAGCGGACACATGACATGATACGGTCGATAGAGTCCTCGTCGATGAAAGTCTTGACGAAGTGCGACTGGCCAACACGGATGATCGAGATCATGATGAGCATGGCCTCGGCGCGGAGAGCATTTGTGCGGGCTTCATTCTTTGAGATTTCTCCATAGCGCATAACGAGCTTGGTCAGAGTGCTAGACAGTACTGTGGCGAGATAGTAGTCGCCGTCGAGGAGTAGCTGTCGTAGTGGAGGCTTCTGTGAGTTCTTGACTGCCTCGAGTTTCGCCTTGGCAGCAGCGGACGAAGTCAGGGCGCTTTCGGTCGCATAAGTACCGTCTGCGAGTACCTTCCTCGATCCAGATGGAGCTGCCGCCTTTGCGTGCCCGTTGACTTGCTCAGTGCTCTCCTTGCCCTCTGATGCATCGTCCAGCAATTTTTGTTCCGAAGCCAGTATGGGGATCTCGCCGAGCGATGAGCGGATGCCCTTCCATGCATCTTGGATGTCCTTCGCCTCCAGCGAGAACTCTCCGATGATCCAGAGAACACCCCGGTAGACCTTGCCAGCACGTACTTCACCAAGAGTCGAAACCAATCGCTCGATGATGGATGCCCTCAGGTCTGGGAAGCGCTCAACAACTTCCTTGACGAATGAAATGACGTCGACCGCGGAGGCGTTGCTGCTGACATCGGAGATAAAGTCCATGAGCGATCCGACGACGCTTGCGGCGACTTCGGGGAACTTGATGGCGGCGGAGTGTATCGAGGAGATGAGGAGCGACCTGTATTCGGGGTTCTTCTCGTATTGTTCGTCCACCGTCTTCATGAGCTCCTTCTTCAGCAGCAGGACGACTTCTTCCACGTTCCTGCTTGAGATCATCTCCATGGCAATGTTGAGCGACTTCTTCCGCACATCCAAGTCGGTACTAGACAGAACGCGCAGGACCTCCATAGTCAGATCATCAAGGACTCCCTCATTCTTGTGTCGCAACTGCTCCACCCTCTCCAAGACGATAAGCTTGACGTTGTTATCCGGCTCCTTGATTGCCAGCTCCACGAACTTTCCAGCAGCTGCCTTGACTGCGACCGGGTTGCTTGTGAGAGTGGTGAGGGCGTGCGCGGCTTCGTAGATGACAGTCGATACCTGCGATTCGAGGAGGTCGAAGATCAGGCGGAGATAGCGGGCCTTGTTGGATGGGTTGACGATGGCATCCTTGCGGATGAACTCTAGTTCGGCGAGCAGTAGAAGCTCTTCGTGGTTGGGTATAGCGTCGAAGACGGTGCTGAGGTATTCGAGAGCCTTCTCGTGGCTGACGGAGACGAGGGCGGCGAAAGCATTGCGCTTGCACGTTGGGTCGTTCTCGTCGTCGAGGAATGTCACCAGAAGGTCGGGCGCATCTGGCATAAGCTCGGGAAGATGTGTAAAGATGGATGCGATTGCGAAGGTTGCGTTCTTTCGGACGTATGCGTGTCGATGTGTGAGGCATTGGCGCACCGGTTCTGAGAGTGTCAGCACAATTGGGCTAAGTATGGAGAGCAACATTCTTACGTAGTAGAGGCTCTACAAGCTCAGCGTCTCGTAGCTTGGTTCTGTTCCGACTATCAGCAATGCTCGGGAAGGTGTCGTGGAGGATCCTACACGAAGCGCAATGTGTTTCCTCGTACGTATTCGTTGGGCGCCTGCAAGTCGAATCGAATCGCATTACTGTATCGATTAGCAAGCTTCATGTGGTATAGTCTTTTGAGCTCACCAGACGAGAATCCACTCCTGCCTTAGCTTGCCCTGGGCGTCGTGCTTGGGGCAGACCTCGAAGAAGAAGTACATGAGCTTCTTGAGCGGCTTCGACTTGCTGGGCATGACGAATCGGATAATGTGCATGAGCAGGCCAGCCTGGGGGTCGCCATTGAGCATAATCGAGAGGATCTTCTTCTGCAGAGCTGTCAGACGGTCGCATTCAGCGAGGCGGGGCAGTGCCATTGCGGGAGCGCACCATAGTCTCGATCTTCTGCTCATCGCTGCCCTTCTCCAGAGCATTCTTGAGCTCATTCTGTGATGGTACGTCGGCGGCATTGTCCTGGTGCACCTGGTGTTGCCCGTCAGCTTCCCCATACCCACGACGTGCCAGGTGTTCCTACCAGACTGTACGAGTTCTCGAGAAACGCCGCCATGATGCCGGGCTATGTGGTATATGGGATGGCCCCGGGGTGTACAGTGTCCAGCTGCGATAACGTGACTCCAGGTGCGGCCGTGAGCCCTCAATGTCCCGTGGAGTCCAGAATAAGTGGGATGGGCTACGTGTATCGATCGACGGGGGCGGTGGAGGGCGTCGTGAGGTTTGGCGCAGCTGCAGCCTAGCGGGGAGGGTGAAAGGACTGGCGTGGCCTGGGCGGAGAGGTGGCTTGTTGGAGATATGGGTGCAGTGCTCGTCGGGACTCTGTTTACCTCCAGGTGTCTGCTCGAGAAATGGTCGCTCCAGCGAAGGCCGCCTCGCTAGGCTTGCAGGGGTCTGGCCGCCAAGATCTCCAACCCTCTGCCGCGACGGTACATCAACACCACGACACGCGCACCCCAAGCACTGCGAATTCCTATACGCGCATCGTTAGAGCTCCATATAGGTAGTCGCAAACATGACAACCAACGAGCCATTTTACCTGCGTTACTAGTATGCAGGCTGTGGATTCTCAAGCACGTGCAGTTACTAACATTTTCGCAGCTCTGGTCACCAAGGCCGATTCGGACACGAGTTCTTGGGTGCGCAAAGCTGTTGCGAAAAGAGAAATACGAGTCTAACTTGGTGTAGAGTTCGATTTTCGAGTGCTCGGAGACGGTCGCAGCGCATCTGCCCGTTATGCCAACAACTCAAACTACCGCAATGATTCACTCATCCGGAAAGAGAGCAAGTCATTCTCTGCCGTTGACGTGATGTGCTGCTAACGCGCCGTTTAGTGTGCGTCAGCGATGCTTTGGTAGCCGAGATAAAGAAGATCGTCAAGGACAGTGAGATCCTCAAGTATGTGAAGGAACGGAAGTTACGTATCATCTGCTAACTCATCCCCAGGGAAGATGACACAAAGTGGCCCCAGAAGAACAAGGACGGCCGTCAAGAGTTGGAAATCCGGTTAGGCAGCGAGCACATCTCGTTTGAGGTAGGGTGGTCCATCTTCCCTAGCCTTCTGTGGACTAACGGTGATAGACTGCGAAAATCGGCTCGCTCCAGGACGTACAAGACTCGTCGGACCCAGAAGGCCTTCGCGTTTTCTACTACCTCGTGCAGGACCTCAAGGCTCTGGTCTTTTCTTTAATATCTCTGCACTTCAAGGTATGCGATCAAATGTACTCACTTCGAACATGAAGACTCACAGCGTTATAGATCAAGCCTATCTAAGCCTCTCGCCGCCACATGGAGGCACAGTAGCGTTGCTTTTGCCGACAGCGCACAGCCACGGGGTTGTGGCACAACCGCGGCTCGATGTGGAATGACGTAGGGACGGCGTACGGAGTCAACTGGAGGAACGACATCTGCTTGTGACTAGTGTCACCTGATCTCCGTGATTCTTCTAGGACGATGGTGTATGAGAGCATGATGCCCAGGAAAGGGCTATTCGACCAAAATTCGTTAGATCGTGCGGGTCGGCTCGGAGGGTCAACATGGCCCACTTGGCAAGATATGATAATACAATTTACAGATGCATTCGACGGCCTAGATATCAAGTGTTCCAATGTGTCTAGGTTTGGCCCCATGTCACATCCCACGTGAGCCTAGTGCGGCTTCCCCGCGTAAGTGCAGCTCAGTGACCCACTAACTTTGAACCGCCTAGACACCTCCGCCGAGTCCAAGTCATCCATCCAGCATGCATTCTTCCCCATCGCCACGCTTCTGGCTCCCGCAAGGCTATATTGTATAATCGCACATTCATCCCCGCCCGTCCCATGTATAATCGCCTCGCACCTTCGCTGTAGTCTCGTCGCACCTGCTATCGGACCATGCCGACGCCGGATGATGAAGCCATGGTCTCGCCGGTGGAGCACGAGAGCATCGCTGGCCGCCCGACTTGTCCACCCGAGGAATCGCGCGTTATCGCGACGCACGAATTGAATGAGACACGGGGCGCCCACGACGACAGCAATGCCAGCGCCGTGCCCGATGTTCCCATGCAGCAGCCCACTCCGTCTCCACAAAACTCGCGCGAGCATACCCAGGCGCCCGACGATATCCAGACCAAGCTGCCCAGCACCGACAGAGACTCGCCCACCAGAGACATTCCCACGCCTATGACGGCGACAGACGACGGCACTGACGAGCAACGCACCTCTCACGTCTCGCCGCTTTCTCCCGCTGCGCCAACTTCGCTGCTCGCCAGCCATCTATCGTCCCCATTCCCTGCGCATAGGGTACGTCAGACCAGCATGCATGCAGAACAATGCGCAAAGTAGACGTTGCTAATGCCGATGCAGTTCCTACCCAACACATCCTCGTCCCTCCTTCGGCCCGGCAGTCGCTTCGTGGGCACCCAGACCTCCGACCGCCAGCAGTATGACGTCGAAGTCGATATAAAACATGTCGACATGCGCGAGTCCTTCATGTGTGGATACTTGCGCATCAAAGGTGCGCACACATCTCCGCGTTGCCATGCAGAGCCTGTAGACTAATCCGTTCGCAGGGCTAACGGAAGACCACCCAAGTCTGACGACGTACTTCGAAGGCGAGATCATCGGAACCAAATACACCTTCATTACACAGCATCCGGAATGGGGCTCCAACGAGAAGGTCGACCGGCAACACTGGGGGCGGTTCGACGCATACAAGCCGATTGCTAAGTACTCTGCGCGCCAGGAACAAGTGTCGAAGGAGCTGAACCAGAAGGAACACCTCTTCATGCGGTGGAAGGAATATTTCCTCGTGCCAGACCACCGAGTGAGGACTATAAGCGGTGCGAGTTTTGAAGGCTTCTACTACATCTGCTTCAACCAGCTCTCGGGCGGCATCGAGGGCATCTACTTTCATGCTAAGAGCGAGAAGTGAGTCTGGCATCCCAGCCAAGATGGCCGTATGCTGACACTGCCCAGATTCCAGAAGCTCAATTTGAAACACATCCAAGATTTTGGGTGTCAAGGCGCGATTGAATTCCGATAATGTTGACGACTGAACGAGAATGACTGGGCATTTGGATACGGATTAGCATTAGGGCGCACACCTGGGATTGTCTTCTTGTATCGATTTTTCTTCCCACGGACCGTATGCAGGGTGCCAAGGTCGTCGGGCTTTTTGTAGTAACGTCTCTGAGACATGCAGGTCGAATTACGTCACGCTACGCTTTGTCGTACAAGCAGTAGATCGCTGCGCGAACGGCTGTTTGCTGTGTTGCTGCACATGTGGTGGACCAGAGACCCTGGCGCTAGCGAAAAACTCGCTTGATTCATGATACGCAGCTAATCGACTATTACCTCAGCACCTGTGCATCTACCTTTGACCCTACTTCCTTGCATATCTGTTAATTGCGCATACCAAAGTCACCATGCCAGGCGAAACAGCAAAGCGCACAAAGCGCGAGGAGTATAAGAAGTCGCTGCAGACGGAGGAGCAGCAGGGCGCTATGCCCAAGAAGAGGTTCTACAGGCAGCGCGCGCATGCGAATCCCTTCTCGGATCACTCACTCACATAGTAAGATGATTTGCTCTTTGGTGAGAAACGAATCTAACATGATGCAGCCCCAAGAGCCCCGCAGACATGGACTGGGCGAGTCTATACCCCATGTACGCCAAACAACCTAAGAGAGAGACGCAAGAAGTGCAGAATGAGTCACATGATCTCAGCATAGAAGAGCAACGGGAAGCAAATGCGATATCAAAGAATGTCGAAATAGCAGACATAGGATGCGGCTTTGGAGGCCTACTCTTCGCCCTCGCACCCAAATTCCCCGATACATTGATACTCGGTCAGTAGTACCCCATCCCTCTTCGCCACCCCATCCACGCAGCACGCCCAGAAGACCACAAGCAGCATCACCAAACTAACACGAACCTGCAGGCATGGAAATCCGCACCTCAGTAACAGAATACGTGCAAGAAAAAGTCCGCGCCCTCCGCGTCCAAAACGCCTCCTCCTCGCAGCTCTACCAAAACACCTCCTGCATCCGCGCAAACACCATGAAATTCCTGCCCAACTTCTTCCAAAAACACCAACTCAGCAAGATCTTCCTGTGTTTCCCGGACCCGCATTTTAAACAACGGAAACACAAGGCGCGAATCGTGTCCTACACGTTGAACTCGGAGTACGCTTACGTATTGAGGCCTGGGGGTGTGGTGTATACGATTACAGATGTGCAGGATTTGCACGAGTGGATGAAGGGGCATTTTGAGCGTCATCCGTGTTTTGAGAGGTGCGAGAGAGTGTTTGAGGAGGGGGAGACTGTTGATGGGGTTGAGGGCGTGGGCATGGATGAGTGTGTTAGGCTGATGAGGAGTGAGACTGAGGAGGGGAAGAAGGTGGAGAGGAATAAGGGGTTGAAGTTTGTGGCGTGCTTTAGGAGGAGGGAGGATCCGGAGTGGCCGTAGGGTGATGGGGTGTGAGATCGTGTTGAGGTTTCGCTGGCTACAGCTGCAAGATATTTTCGAAAGCGTGTCTTCTCGAGCACATGTGTGCAAGAGGAATACCTGGGTATAAACTATGATGGTGCAGTCCGGGTTCTCTTGCGCGTGAGCTGCGTGTTCTTAGACTGTGCAATGGATCTCGATCTGGATTTTGCTACATGATATCTATAACTCGATGGCTGGTCTTCGCTCTCGGGCATGCGCAAAAGTTCACGACCGTGCCACTGCTCTCGGTAAAAGATCGGCGATGCCGTAATCAGCCATGCCCCGCTACCGGTGTCGCGTCGCACACCCTCCGTGAACTCGACGCGCTTCCACACAACACCCAGACTGCTCTTACCTTGTGTGACCTCTACGCCTCAACATGTCTACAGACCCGATGGACATCTCGGGACAGCCACCCACATATCCACCCAATCTCCTGGGCATTCCGACAGAACTTCAACTGAGGATCGTTGATCATGTACGCTGGTCCGCATGCTAGTTTCAGAACGCATACTGATCGAGCTAGATAACCCTGAAGAGCGATCTCACATCACTGTGTAGGACATGCTCAGCTCTGCGTGTTCTCGCGAATCCGCTTCTATATAGGCGCATCGTTCTGCGCCTATGGAGTCAGCGTGCGGTCGATCGTCTCAACAAGTCCAATTTCGCAGGTGCTGGCTTACATTACCAGCACACGAAGGAGGTTATCATCGAAGACGAAGCGATTGGCGAAGAACTCTACACGATACATACCGGACGGATCTGTCCACCTATTCTGGATCGTCGGAGTAATGCTACTTACCTAACTGAGTCTGAGAAAGACAACGCCGCCTACGCGTTTCTGCAAACCATGCATCATAACCAATTAGAACGCTTATGGTAAGTTAATAAGTGAATGCGCTAGCATTCGATGTGGATGCTGATGAGATCAGGTACCATTCGCGGCGGCCTCTCTCGGCAGTGGTTAGAAATCATCTGCGCCACTACCAGACGAAAATACAAGACCTACGAATAGGCTTATACACCGATCCCGGATCGCCCGACGTACTACCCCAGATACTCTGTGGTCTGCAACGCCTCGATCTTTATGTCGATAATTCAACAAGCCTCATTCTGTTGTACATGAACATCGAAGCCGTGGGCGCCAACTTGAAATCGTTGTCGCTGACAGCAGCCAATTCCATGGATATCAGTACGGAACTGGATGCCTGGGCAATGGGCGAGGAGAACGAATACACCCAATGCACACCCAAGCTCGAAGAGTTCACGCTGTCCAATTTTATCTATGACAACGCTTACGAACAGTTCTCTATAATTGTCAACTATCATCAGCTTGTGCGATTAGGGCTTTTCGGGAACTCCGGCGGAACCCATTACTTTCTCCAGGAGCTTGCCGAGAGTAGCGAGGAGAACAAGCTTCGTTTGAAGCATATTGCTGTGGAAATTGCGGGTGACATCGCGGAATCCACTGAGCTCGTTCCTCTGCGATTATCCTTGAATCAGATATACAAGGCCTGCGAACCCCTTGAGAGCTTCCATATACACTACCCGCACGGCGACCACTCATCCGACTTTGATGTGTACGACTTCCTAAAGCCGTTCACTGATCGCGGGCACAATTTGCAAAGTCTGAGCTACCACGTCGAACAGTGGAACTGGGGCCAATTGAACCACGACGTTATAGATGTGCTATACCGGGTAAGCCAGGAATCCTTTCGACAAGTAAAACAGCTTGCGGTGTACTTCGAGGAAGCATTAATGCTTGACGGCCTATGGAATGAAGAGGCCAGATTCATGATCTTTATGGTAAGTGGAAGCTATCTCGTTCAGAGCGGCACCTCGTTCAAGAAGACCACAAAACACACTGGAGTCTGCGTAGACGTTAGGTTGCTTGATTTGCACGTTTGCATCGTACTCTAGGCTGCAGACCCATTAAGTTCCTTCCTTGTATGAGGTGGTGGCGGATCTTGAGCATGATATCTAACATCTATCAGACGTGGATAGGGTATTTCCGAGAATTACGCTTGCTCCACCTCCGCCTGCCACACTGCGTTCGCATGGGGCAGAGCAAACACGGATGGGACCCCGCACTATTGATCCTACAGCTGCAAACCTTCGCAAACCGAGTCTTTGAGTTTCTAGGTCCAGAGTCGAAGTTGGACGCTCTGGTGATCGGTCATGTGTCGACTTTGCGGAACCCAGAAAACCTAGACCGCGTGCGTCCACTTCCGCAGCAATGCTTTCTCCGAGGCAAGCAAAGAGATATCCTAGGTCGTACCGTCCCCGTTGCGGTTCCTGTTACGAGGATGATGTTGCGTGAAACGCAACCGTACACAGATATTCTGGAAGTCGACTACCGTACTGCCGCCGATGAATGGGAGGCGTGGGCAACTCGAACGATGTGAGGATTTGGGTCGAGGGAGAACATCATCAAAAAGATCTTTTAGTCCGAAGCATACAGCGTCTTAGGTGCTGTCTATGTATAAACATTTGATGGAATATATGCAGCGAATACAAAGCGCATTCTAGCCACCCCTCGTGCAGCGAAGGCATTGCATCTGAAATCATGGTATGCAGTTCCTATCAGATGTCCACCGTTCGGTTGGCTCGATTTGTTCGATTCTGGTACGATAACTCTAGGCCCAATATGCAGTTCCCAGAGCGCTTCGCGTAAAACGTTGCGAAGCAGGCTTAACCTAAATCAGTCACAAGGAACTTCTTCATTTGGGGCAGGAACCAAACGCTGACTTTATCGGCTTCAGCAGCCGATGCGACTCGTCGTTCCTTCACGGTAGCTTCCCACAAGCCGCAACGACGCGCATTGCCGGAGGATGCATACATAGCGCTAACGTATGTTCTTTATTCGAGAGTCAATCGAGCGCTGACACGATAGCATTGGCTGCAGGTCTAGCAAGGGTGGATGCAATCCTTCTGGCTCCGCGGCATCTAGATGCATACTGCAAGGGTTATGATGAGAACCCCTCTCATGCACCAAGTGTATTGAAATAGGCCACCAACCAGTTTATCTTTGATTCTCGCTATCGCTATTCTTTGAGCTGCAACAACAATGTTGCAACTCAACACCGACTGCCAGAGACGAGTACTCAACTACGTATGCTACCCGTATCGCCGCTCGCTACATGCGATATACTGAACACAGCAGATCAATAGCCGAAGCGACCTAAAGTCACTATGTCTGGTGTCGAAAGAGCTCAACCAACTCGCCCTCGAAAAGCTTTACGAGCGCATCGACATTCGCCTCTTCAGCGAAAACAACACTAAGTACATCCTTGAACTACTAGAGGACGTAAAAGAGAACCTCCAGTATACCAGAGAACTCGTCGTAGAAGATGAGTGCATCGCCGAGGAAACCACGTCTGTGCAGTACGGCAACGTTGGACTACCTGGCCTTGAATGTTGGACGGGTTCTGGCGCCACGAAAGCAGATCCTGAAGTACGCGACAGCAATCTTGAGCAGGTCTTGGATCTCATCCCGGCGAATGCCCTGCGCACATTCCGGTAGGGCTGAAGCTACTCATCTCGTTTTGTGTTGCCTGCTAACATCTACAGTTTCCTCGGTCGACGATCACTACCGTGGTGGCTGCATAAGAAGCTCGCATCGAAACAGAGAAACATCACAGACCTCCAAGTTAGTCTTACTATGGATCTCTTCGACAACTCTATAAACATACTACCAGAACTGTATCAACGCGAAACGGATTTGAAACGACTGGACATGTATATCGTCGAAAGTTCGTCACTCAACAACCTGTTACTCGACTATGTTGAAGCCGTCGGAAGCAACCTGCAATCCCTGTCTTTGAGCGCCAACATTGACACTGATGTTTCCAAGCTGCTCCGGAATCACGACTGGTCACCATATCAGCCCAAACTCCCACTGGAAGAACTCAGGTTGACTGGCTTGACATTGATGCACATGTACAACTCCCTATCGACAATCATCGATTTCAGCAAGCTGCAAAAGCTCGACCTAGTAGAATGCGCCGGAGCCTTCGGATTACTGGCGGACATGACAGATGCGATGCCAAACCAGCAGTTCGACCTCACGCACGTTGCCTTGAACGAATTTGTGCCTCGAATTGGCATCATCAAAACTGATGACGAGCGCAACATACATTTGGTCAACTTCTTGAAAGCATGTCCAAACCTGCGCAGTCTACACTTTGGTCATTACTATCTCGAAGCTCTACCACCAGGGTTGAGACAGTACCTACAAAGTAGAGGCAAGGAGCTTACGAGTCTGAGTCTATACTCCAAAACCGAGATAATCGACGCCGGAGAGTTCGACCTTGTTTGCCGATCATGTCCAAATCTCGAACAATTTGCCGCCGGGATCGACGAAGAATTTATAATGGCAGATGGGTTGTGGTACCACAACCTGAGAGACTTCGTAGTAAGCCTTACCAACCCGTCAAGTCACTATAGCACATATTGACTCCCCACAGGACTCCCTCCGCCGCCTCCCCAAACTCCGTACCCTCCATGTCCACCGCTCTCGCATCTCCCTAGTCGGCGGTCTCGGCAACGGATACGGCAACCGCTGGAACACATCCATGATCTCGCTACAAGTACAAAAGTTCGCAAACCTGCTCTTCGGCGAACTCTACACAACAAACCCAAATATCGCCCTCGAAACACTTATTGTGGGGCACTTGGGTCCGCTCTTGCGGAAGAGCAATGCCATTCAGTTGGATAATGGGCGTGAGGTCAATTCGCAGCATTATCTACCGCAATTTTGCTTTGTGAGGAGTAGGCAGGAGGACTTTTTGGGGAGGACGGCGACGACGGGGGTGATGGTGAGTAGGGCTGTGTTGAAGAGGACGCATGATTATATGGGTATTTTGGATGTGGATGCTGGGGTGGAGGCGTGGGAGCAGTGGGTCGGTCAGGCTATCTAGCATTTGGGTCACATTCCACGGATTCAATCGATGAATTCATCCAGCTGGAAATATACATCGCCCTAGGAGCAACCTTCTTCTCAAGTTTTGATGGCATGTATGCGGCAACAATAAATCTGGGGTGCAGAAATAGAATCATGATTCAAGGAGTAGCAAGCTGCTCATCTTCCCCGTGCGCAGTTGTACGTTCTTCCAATCCACTTTCATGAAGATATACACTCACAACCGTGTATTGACTAAACTACTCAACGATCCCTATCTTCATCCCTCCCCGGCCAAACAATCTGCTTCTTCCACACAGCCCTCACACACCCCACAACCGTCACCAACCAAATCACCACCAATAAAACCGTCATAACGCTCGCTACCCACAGTACACCCTCGCTCTCCAACTCCCTCCCTAACACACCCGTACTAAGCGTAAACCCCACATTCGGAAAGATGAACGCCCACCACGTCAGACTAAACGGCATCTTCCCAACCACCCCCAGATTCCCCAGTAGCGCAATAGCAAACAACCAAAAACTAAACACATACAAGAAAACCCCCGTGAAAAGCGCCAGAACACGAAGTATCTCGGGTGCAGCAGGATGTTTCGCAAAGTACCCCTCTGCCATACCATTCGGCACCGCATTCGCCAGCCCAATCAACGCAACAATCGTGTACGCACCACTGCCCACCGGGATAAACAACGCAGGCCGTAACTGATTTGGCGGAAACCCGTTGTCTAACAAGTTGCGCACAAAACCGACTATGGCAACAAGACTAACACACCACCCAAACCCCTGCCACGCAACCCCACTCACAACCACCTTCACCGCCCTCCCATGCGTCTGGCTCCCCGCCACAAGACTCGCCACCGTCCCCGTCAACATGGCCGAATACCCTGCTAGGAAAAGACTCGGCAGCGGCGGCACAGGACGGACCTTTCCCCTTTGAATCACTATCCAATACTGGAACACGGAGTTTGCGAGGGAAGCACCTGCGTAGATCCAGTAGAGTAAGTAGACGGCGTCGATGAGCCAGGGGTAGGCGGGGCCGTGGGTGATGCCGTAGGTTTGGATGCCGGCGAGGATGACGCTGAGGGAGAGGTAGAAGGACCCGGCGAAGAAGGATTCGGATGGGTGGAGGAAGGAAGTCAGGAAGTGGGAAGTGTGGTAGAGGAAGCGGAGGGCTGTGCAGGTGCAGAGGAGGAGGAAGAGAGCGATGTTTAGGATGAAGAGGGTTAGGCCGATTTGGTGGAGGCCTGGGGGGTGGGTTTGTTAGTATTGGCAAGCGCGACGGGATGGAAGAGGGATGGGTACCGGGGAATTGATGCGGTGTTTCTGCTATGGCGAGGGCGAGACCGCCTGTGCTCATTGTTGAGAGGAACCAGGCGAATGTGAAGTGTTTAAGGCGTGAGCGTAAACCGATTTTGCGGTCTGGTTGTTTGTGCTCTTGGTGGAGCATCTCTGGCTTTGACGAAGGGGTCGTGCCGTCGGTGTTTGGGGATGTAGACATTGTCAGTGAATCTTCTTGTTTGTGTAGAGTGCTCTTGTCATGTGTTCTTGGTTGCTACTGTCATGGCATAGTGGCTCATGGGGTGACGGGGGTGAAAGACGTGCGGCGGGAGAGGCTCAAGTAGCATCGCAAATCCAATCGCTAGCAAAAGGCTTGCGCGCAGCGTGCAACCGTCAACCGGGGATGCATCCGATAGGATATGGCCTTCCTGGGAGAGGTCATGATCGTGAGATGTCCAATAGAGAAGTTGCGGATCGGTGACGCGCTGCGCCCTGTTTCCGGTCGTCCTATTCCCGGAGCCGCACAAGCTTCCTCGCACATCAACCGACGCCGCTACATCTTCACCAGAAATCTACCGAGTAAATGCATCGAACTGTTTTCTTTCAACTATTGACATTACTTGCGAAAGTTCACGCCACCTGCTGAATCCTATCCTTCGCCTTATCCTTCTTCTCCTTGGCCTTCCACTTGATATCCCCCGGCTGCGGCCACCTGTAATTGACAGGCGACTCTCCACCCACGAAGATGCACAAGTCGTACATCAAACCACCGCACAACGCGCCAGCAATAGATGCACCCCAAGAACCATATGCCCAGTACCCATTCTCAAAGGCCGAATCGTATCCAACCCACAATCCGATGAGCCTGGGACCAAGATCGCGCGCTGGTGAGATGCCCAGACCGGTGTTGTAGCCAAGCCCGATCATGGTGACGAAACCTGTAAGACCAACGACGAAGGCTGTCATACCCTGACCTGGAGGCGAGTTCTGGTCGTCTCCTAGGGCGAAGATGACACAGACGAAGATGGCCATGTAGACGAAGTCGTTGAAGAAGCCGGTTGCGGTGGAGTATATGGGTCCTTGAGGGAAGAGAGCCTTGCCGGTCATCTCCAGGGTAAGACCGGGGTCTACTGCATGAATAGCGTCTGCGTAAAGGCTAACACGGAGTTAGCAACTGAGGCATTTTGATCAGCAGAAGATTTGAACTTACGCGTAAGCTACAGCGCCGGCACAAAGTCCTGCCAGCAACTGCATGAAGATGTAGACTATTGCCATCTTCCAGGGGAAACCGCGGTAGACGGATAGCGAAATCGAGATTGTGGGACTGAGATGTGAACCGCTGACACCGCCGCCGAGGTAGATGCCAATCATGACTGCGAAGCCCCATCCCCAGGCTTGGGTCTCGAAGCTGCCGGTGCCTTCTTGAGATGTGGCGACTGAAAGATTGACGCAAAGTCCGATGAGGAGGTACACAAACGTCTACACAGTATTAGTAAGGTTGCTGTCAGAAGAGTTAATGATACGTACGGCCAGGAACTCGGCAGGTGCCTGTGGATACTTGGCTCGCAGCCTAGCGATAGGGTTGCGATATTGGTTGTAGAACTCGCGTTCTGCCTCATGCTCCCGTTGTTGAATCTCTTTCTCTTCCTGCTTAGTCTGTGAAGACATATTCGTACCGTGTTCCTGGAGCGGTGGAAGACCGTCTTGCAAACCAAAGTGTTGCTGCTGCCCACGTCCATCAGAGAACTCCAAGCCGTGCTCGTTGACGGGCGCACGTTCCTGACCTTCATGATGTTCATGGCTGCGAGCGTTTGGTTCTTGGTTGCGGCCAAGCACCTGATCAGCTTCACTTGTTGGCACGCGTTTCATATTGACATTGCGGCCGTCGACCGTTGTCTGGAAATGCGAGGGATCGCGTCGTTGGTGTGGGCGACCGACGCCGTCTAGCGTCTCCTGAGAGTCTTCTGAATCTTCTTCCAAATCTGTCCACGTTCTAGTTAGAATGATTACTCTTGAGGAAGGTCACATCAAGGGAGTATATGAAGACTTACCTTTGCCATCGTGAAAGCCTAATCCATCTTGTCGAGCAATACCATCTGCATCCCCTTCATCGACCCGGTACAGAGACTTGCGCAGGTCGCCTCGTCCCCACCACATACCCTTACGTACAGTGCGTGGCAAAGGCGCGCCCAAACCGAAGACTGGCTTCGACTTTTGCTCATTGTACCAAGGGTTTAGTGAGAAGTAGTCGTTCTCGACGTCTACAGTCTGCTGTTGCTTCTTCTCAGGTCGTCGCGGCGGCTCTTGCCGAACATTCTCGCGAGTTGCCCGGCTCTTTCGAGCAGTGGGCGTGTTTCTGATGGTGCCCATCTGGGTCATACCCGTTGCAGTAGTGGTACTGCGCTCATTCTCGGGTCGTGACTCCAAACGAGCGGTGTCAAGTCTCCCGATACTTGGTGCATTGGAACGACTTTGTGCCAGACCCGATGGCATGCGTGTTGCCGAGGGTTGCTGTCGTGGCTCAGGCGTTGCTGCAGGTCTTTGGGATGTAAAGTAATCTGATTGCTGCCCTGTAGAAGGTTAGTACATGTAATTTCTAGATGCCGATGAGAAAGAAGCTCTTCTGGCTTCTCGGAAGAAAAGTCGAGCTTGTTCGGTAACTTACTGTTGTCAGCTTTGTTCGGCTGTTGTTGCGACATGTTGTATGCTCGTTTCTTCCTATGCCTCAAGGCAAGCAGACCCTGACAACCTTATATCTGATATGTACCGGACGTGGGAGTAAAACAGGGGCGTGGGAGGTGCCAAGTGTACAACATGGTGAAAAAGTAGTCCCGCGATTAAGCCATGGGAAAGTGAAGAATTCCATGCAAAACGTCATTTGCAGGGAAGCTTTTGCCTAGTACGCCCACGTCCCCATTATTTCGGGGAGACTCCTGGTGACGCGGAATCACACATCCCAATCATTTGGACGGGTTTTCATGTTGAGTGGGTGCGTACCGTTTTGGGAACTCAGCTTTAGTGGGTTTGCCCTGATAAGAAGGGTTCCATCGCGATCCTCAGGGTTGCGGCAAAGTGTGGCGTCGTGCGGATCGTGAGATTGCTGAACATCGGCATCTTTACTGTGGGTCGCATGCGCGTTCCGCGGAGCTGAAGCCTTTGTCGTCGACATAATCGGAGCGACAGATTGACATTATGGTGTCTTGTGAGCGAAAGAGTCATCAAAAGTCTCCTCGGAAAGTGTAAGAGGAATTGATGCAGGAACCGCGTAGGGAGTATTTAGGTGCAGATCATCCGAGCGCCTCGAGAACAGCCTCGACCAATAAGCACAACAACGCTCAAGAGGCCGCAACAACCGGCAGCGGCGATGCCGACTCATGGCCTACCTAGACAATCACACAAGCCACACTTCTCTGACAGAGAGTTCGGGACCAGAGCCGATGGTGCACCACGATCATGCAGGTGAAGACGCACTATTGCATCGTAATGTGGAGACTCGGCCAAGATCTCTACGTTTGCCCGATGATTTCCCTGCGACATTGCCGTCCCTGGGGGACTGCATTGCTGTATTTACACATGCACCATCCATGCACTGAAGAGCGCCCCAGTGTCTGCGTAAGCTCCCGCCGCCGCGGTGTGATAGTACAATGTTGAGCCCGATCCCGAGGTCCGAACATTCGCATGGTGGGTCGATGGGCAGCCTTGGGCAGATCCCACACCCCACGCCCAACAGCTTACAAGTATCTGTGCAGTGACTTCTATCTACGTCCTCACGACACTGCCATGAGCTTGTTCTGCTCCTGGGCCAACGTCAGGCCTTCCGGTGCTTGTCGGAATAGCACGATCTCGGATTGCTTAAAGTATCGACGGGCGTCTGGAGACAGGTCAGTCACAGTTGTGTAGAGATGTGCGTATGTCATACCTTCGTCGATGAGTACTAGACTCAAGTAGTATCGGGTGGAGTACTTCTTGTTGACTTCGCGGAAGGTGGGTGTTAGGTCGAAGCCTCCGAGGAACAACCTGATGGGAATTGTTTCACCTTGACGTCGTCAGCAATGCCTGTCGCAACAGAGTCATCGTGCTTACCTCGCGACGGTGAGCCGTCCATGATCTCGAAGCGAACCAGGGTCTCGCTCTCGTTGTACTGGTTGGGAGCAGCCCCCGTTGTCTCTCTTCTTATGATGGACAACTCCATGTGCTTGATCTTTAACCGTACCAGCAAGAAGTATATCCTGCCGACGATCACGTCCTTCAAGTGGTATTTCGATTTCGAGTACTCGAACTCAATGTGCAGGCAGTCTTCGATACCGACGTCCATCTTAATGGAGCTATTGGTCTCAGGCGGTATCCGGTAGGAGTAGACCCAGAGGTCCTTCTCTCTGACTACATCTGCCATTCTCCGCGACACGGTGACGCGCACAAAGTAGCGCAGCTTGACGTTGATGCCATTGTAGGATTCGTATTGCTTCTCGACGTTCTTGAAGTTGAAGTCGAACGTCTGCGGGTGCTGGAGCTCGCCAGGGGCTGCTAGCTCTTGGCCGAGGGAGAGGAACTCGTAGTGGTTTCCGCGGTCGAAGAACATCTCTGGCGCATTATGTCAGCACTGCGCGCCGAGATATAGCTATGGTGAAGCTCCAGGACGGCGGATGCCTACCAATGGTGCCGATGAATTGCACCTTGATGCCCGTGTGCTCGAGGCGCTTGCCATCCTTGGGCCTTACGGTGACCTGGCCCTTGACTGATTCACCATCCAGGTACAGCGGGACCTTCTCTTTGCGGTTCTTGTCGAGCTTGACATCAACGGCGGAGCGGTCGTCGAGGTCCTCGAGCACGATGTCGATGTCGACCGGGGTGGAGAAGAAGTACGACATGCCGGGCCAGAGAAGTGCCGGTGGATTGGCGCGTGTTCGGAAGCGGTATCAGAGGCACTCGTCGCGTCGGTGGTCGGCGGCGCTCGACTGGATGGCCGTGGTGTGGAGAGCTGCGCCCCAGATCCATGGCAACAGCTGATGACGCTTGTCCCCGTTGAGCCCGTCACGTGAGCGTATTCTGCCCCGCCTTCCCCGATCCCTCACCAACACCACCTCGTCATATTCACCCCCAGGTATCCTTGTTTCGGTCTTCACTGGATCCACGTCACGTCTGACTGCTGTTCTCGCCGGGTCAGATGGTCCTCCACATGCCCCTCCCGAGCCTGCGGAGATAGGCACCTGCATACGAAACAGCAAATATGCACTCGTTTGGCGGTGAGCTGCACACGAGCAGCTGCAATATCGCGGCGTCGTGACTGATCGGGACTGTCTGCACGTCTGGCTCAAACGTTCTCACCCGTCTGGACTATCCGGAGCATCTGCCGGGTGCCGCCCCAAAGACTAATCGACTAATCGCAACTCAAAGACTGTTCGCAGCCTCGATCCTCGCCGGCCCGATGCACTTTCAGATTCCTCGCCTAACCCCCACGCGCCATTATCAAACAGCTTCGTACCGCGAGTCAAAGCGGTGAGCTGAAGTCTATTGCTTCCAGGCAGAAACTCAGTCGAATCGCAATCTACTCAGCAGAGCGCCCTGCAGTTGCCTGGCGTTCAGAACTCAAGTCTGCGCTGGCATGTCGTGGTCACCGGCATGCGGGATGCATAAGTACCTGAGAAGGACTGGGGTCCTCATGCGGGGAGACTGATGCGCTACTCGTCATCCCACACGCGACAGGTCCACTTTCAAACGCCGAAGTTCTCTCTCTCCAGCCCCGGCTTCGCGGCTGTTACAGCCGGCTGGGCCTGTTACTGAAACTAGCTACACGCCCTTGCTCGTCATTCGCTGTTTGCTTTTCGGAGCGTGCCATCGTGGCTTGGCTCCCAGAATAACGACAAGCTCCATCGCATTTCACCCTTGCCGTTGCCGTCATGGCTTGCGGGAGAAATTTCCAGACCAGTATTCCAAGGTCCCACGCCTTAAAACGCACCACGCCCCAGCGCGAATCGGGGCGCTGTTGATTGCTTACAGTCTGCATACACTTATATTTGGTCCCGACCACATCGCAATATACTATATTAACCCTACCCGACACCCGTCCCTTTGTTTTCGGGAGCCCAACTCAAGCATTAGCGTCATACAAGAGCCTCACGTACTACAAACACTCATTTCCACAACAGTTTGACTCAAACTCCAAACTCTGTACCACCATGATGCAAACCGTCGATCTATCGCAGCCAAAGCCCATACAATATGCATCACCACCTACACCACCGGCTTCCAATACAGGCTCGCCATCCAAGTCCATGGCTGTCATGAACGAGACCGAGACCGCCAAAATGACCATTTCAACCCACCACCACATCCTCATCGTCACCGGTCCAGCAGGGTGCGGCAAGAGCACTGTTGCAAAGCACCTCTCGGACCGATATGGATTTGACTACATCGAGGGCGACGAGGTTAGCCAGTTCCCTGTGATCTATCTAATGCGTACTGACGTCTTTGCAGTTCCACCCAAAAGCAAACATTGACAAGATGGCCGCCGGCATCCCTCTCAACGACGAAGACCGCTGGGACTGGCTCATCCTTCTACGAGACCAGGCCATCACTGCACTGAAGAACGGAGCCAAGGGCGTCGTTGTTACCTGCAGTGCGCTCAAGAAGAAGTACCGCGACGTCATCCGCACAGCCCGCCTCTACGACGAGGACCCAAACGCCAACGTACACTTCGTCTACCTCCGCTCTGACATGGAGACCCTCCTCGCCCGCGTCCGCGCCAGACAAGGCCACTACATGAAGGACGCCATGGTCGAGAGCCAGTTTGCTGCGCTGGAAGAGCCCGACGAGACGGAGTGCAAGCAACTGAAGGATGTGGAGATCATCGACGTCAAGGGCAGCATACAAGACGTTCAGCTACTAGCCGGTGCTGCTGTTGACAAGGTTCTTGCGCAATAGCACGACGCCTGTAGCATCAGCTGGCTCTGATCTCACCTTTCGTTACGTCTTCTTCTTTTTCTGGTCGGTGTTGGGCGAGTGCGCAGGAACGCTGTGCGTGGGTTGTGACTCCTTGGTTTACTTAGTTACGGCGTTCTATTTATATCACTATACCCTCGCGAGACGGGACAGCATACATGGTTTGCGGAAATGAACAGTTACGACTTCACAACTTCTGAGCCTTGAAATGACCTATGCTGACTACCCACCGCCAATCTTTTCCCCTGCATCCCATGACATCGGTCGGAAAGATCTTCCTCTTGTCTCAGCCTAATGCTTGTCGGCTCCTTAGTGCCCGTTTTTACACGTGTGCGATCGAATTTCCGGTGTGTGCGGATCTACCTCCCACTCCTAACCCCGCTCTTCGTTACCAGCAAAGGATGCATGATGGCCCGCGGCCTATGTGGCTTGGACCACTTCACGACGATGACTAGATCTCCACTGCATTAACGGCTGTCTTCAGTCTTGGCCAAACATGACAGCTCTACGGTTGACGCTCTCGTTTACCGACTTCGTTTTGTAGGTTCGGGCTACACTATCGTGCTAGGGTATCTTTTTGTCAAGGTTACAAGAGTTGGAGGACGCATGATACAAATCAGACACAGGCAATAACGATCATGGTTAGCCATGGGTATATGAGCAATTGCGATGATTGCGTAGGAAGCGTTCTAAATGACTCAGCCTTGAGGATGAGTCTGACAACAACGTACAGAGACACGAGACTATGGAGTCGATGTGGTCATGAGCACAATTCAAAACGCGAAAATCGTTTAATACTAATGCCATCTCTAAACTACCTTCCCAAGCCTCAATAATGAATCTGACCGCTGTGGCAGCGATTGCCGCGTCGACTCCACTTCTCTCTCGACGGCAACGTCAACCTGTGTTCCTCCCCCAGCCATAGGCCTCAACTCCGTCTCACTACCCCACTCATTACTTCCCTTCCTATCCTGCTCACTGCTCGGCAACCTCAACGTAGTATTCCGACTCCACCTATGCATACTATACACACGACGAGACTTGCTTTGTGCCCCCAATGAAGCTGGTTGTGAAGAACCATATACCGGCCGCGTTCTCCCCATCGTGCCATTGAGCAAGTACCTGAACGCCGGCAGTGTAGCAACGATGACAGATACAGACGACTCGATATGACTCCACATGCTGAGCAACACCGGTCCATCGGCAAGGGTCGTCGGATCAGGGTTCGAAGTAGCCTTTGTGACTTGAGCGAGGCGTGCAAACGCGAAGGCGATGATGATGGTGCCGAGGGAGAATATAACTGCTAGGCCGAACTTTTGTTGGGGCGAGACTTGTAGTTTGCGCAAGAGGTTCAGAGGGAGGAGCATGATGAGGGCGTCGGCAACGACGTCTGCGCTCGTGGCGAACTTGATGGATGCGTCGGCTCGGATGAGGTCTTCGGGGTCGCTGCATCCGGCTGTGCGCGTTAGAAGGGTTTGCAGAGAAGAATGGGGGTGGGGTACTGACTTGCGCTCCAGTATTTGGATAGGGGTCGGCAGGTTAGGAAGTTGGAGGCGATGCATGCGAGATAGAGGAGTAGGACTAGTACGAAGGACGCCCACCATGCACGCATGTATACTGGCAGTCCTATCACCAGCCGTCTGAAGAAGAAGAGAATAGAGAACTTGGCTAGAGTGGCATATCAGCAAGATAGCCTGCTCACCAGTTTAGCAAGCCAACTCACCAGCCCACAGTGTAGTCCAAAACAACAGCATCTGGCTGAACATGAACTTCAGCGAAGTACGCGTCCTCTCGATGAACTCATCCGGCGGTAGTGGCAATGGCGTAAGCGGATCCAGTATAGCCGCTTTCGAATATTCCTGCGCAAGGAAGAACTGTGGTAGTAGACATGTGATAACTGCGGAGAGGGCAGTCAATGAGAACAAGCCGAAGAAGAGGAAGTAGTCGTCTGCGAAGAGTCGGTGTTGAGACTTCCATCGTAGAAAGCCCCTGAGGGTTGTGCAGAGGAATGATACACCCCAAAGGGTCCATATCAATTGCTGTCTAGGAGTTATAACTGTGAACTGTATTGTTGTTGTTGTTGTTGTTCGACTCACCATCAGATCGGTGTAACTGAGCGCCATAGTGGTCTTGACTCAGTATCTCCCCAGTTGGAAGGATGATACTGCGATCCGAGTGGACTACCTGCGAGATATGTATCTAGTCTTAACATCGTCGTAAATCTCGCCTTGGTCACTATCCCAACACCAAGACTCGCATTCGCATCCGGCCCCATCCTGGTTTGCATCGCGAAGCCTGATCTATGAGACGGTGGGTGCCGCAGATACGCCGTTTCCTACATGGTAGTCTTCGATGAATCCGTCCGTACATGGCGTGCATTCGATGGCGAGCCAAGTCCAACCAGTTGATACGGGTTGAACGGCGAGGTACAACAGCGCATGCAGGTGGCGGCAAAATTACGGCCCAATTCTTCCAAGCTGACTCTGCATGAGATTTTGTGTTGCTCGCATTACGAACATCCTACTGAAGTAGCACCTCCGGTACGAAAACCTGATCTCGGCCCTTTTCGAAGCCATCGTCCTAGGTTCCGCGGCGGCCGAACCGATCTCGCGGGTGGACATGGTGCGATTATGTTGTACCTTCCTGCCCGATTGAGCTTATCGTGAAGCATGTTAATGAAGACGTTAGGCGGTACACCGTATATTCATAGGGAATGCATGAGTTGTATTGATAGAGTTTTGTACACAATCGCCGAACCAGATCGTTGGGATCGTTCATCATGCATCGGCGACCTTCCAACCACCAGGCATGAGGTTAGTGTACACCTTGAGAGGGTCATACTTGGTACGAATAGTCTTCAGCCTCCTCAAGTTGGCAGCGGGATAGCTCTGGAAAATTGGCTGGCCCTTCCCGGCATCGTTCATGTAGAGATAGTCAGCGCTATACAATCCCGCGCGCAGCAAGCTGTTTATGCTGGCTGTGATCTCATCAGCAGCAGCCCGCACTTTCGCGTCATCGCTCGCCGAAGACCAGGTGAAGTTCTCCACCATCCAAAAGAAGGGTGCTTTCGAGACGTCGATGCCTTGAGGGTTGCCTCCAGTCTTCGCGCTGTGCGAGAGGAATGCCTTCGTGATGGGCTGGAAGGTAATCGAGGCCTGGAGATTGGCAACGCTAGGCAACTTGGCGTTGACGCCGGAGACGAAAGTGTCGTGGATGAGCTGCACGGCCTTTCGGTCAACAACGGACGAAAGTGTGCGGAATTCCTGGCGTAATCCCAATGGCTGCAGGGCATCTGTAGCTGAGATGTAGTCTGACAACGGTTGCAGTGCGTATGAATCAGCGACCGGGGTTAGCTTTGGCGCAGTGAAGTTTTCGAATACGTTGGGGTTGTCAGTGACGGAGTGGTAAAACTTCGCAGCCGCATAGACAGTCATGTTCGCCGCGGGGAAGGTAAGAATAGTCGGAATGATAGCAGCTTTGGGGTCAGACCCTCCATATTTCCCAAAGTTGTACACGCCGTCCAGGTAGCCAGATGCCTGAGTCTGATCGAATTGACCGATGCCGACGTGAACGTCGCTGCCCTCCACCGGTCGCAAGTCAAATCGTGTGACGATGCAGAACGAATTACCGCCGCCCCTCAATGCCCAGAAGAGATCTGAGTACTTGTTCGTTGCCGTCGCCTCAACGATCTGGCCACTTGAAAGCACACACTACCCATTGTTAGTCATGTATATCTTTATACAGAAGATTGGCGACATACCTCATACTTCATAACATTGTCGGAAGCGAATCCATACTCCGATGAGTAGAAAGAGATGCCGCCACCGAGTAACAAGCCGGGAACACCAACGTGGCCCACCCGACCACCGACAGCTGCGAGCCCAGATGGTTTCAGATAGGCGTAAACGTCTCTCCACCTGTTTCCAGGTCCGACAGAGACGACAGACTTGTCTGAGGAAAGTGACAAGGTCGTCAGATTGGAAGAAGAGATTAAGACACCCGACCCATCGATCCCGTTGTAACCAGGGATTGGCATATGCCCTCCACCTCGCATGGCAAATTTGGAGCGGGTCAGTGTCATTGTGGTGACCGCGTAGGCAACTTGCTGGGCATTTTGTGGGACGAAAACGCATGCAGGGCTGCTGTACACCGTAGCTGACCAGTATGCTGTGAATTGTTAGTGAAGATCGGGCCGAATTTTCGAGGATGTTATCATACGCTCTTGTGTCTCATATAAGTAGCCGGAAGTTCCAGGCGAGAAGGTACTGTCGGGGTATTTAGATCTCAGCTTAGAGCAGGCGGCCTGCTCTCCACCAGAGAGGCTTTGTGCCGCACCTGCTGCGATGGACGGCGCAGCAAACAGCAAAGCTGCGACACCTGCCAGTAGTACCATTCTGATTGTAATGGGAGGATGGCTAAAGGTGAACCTGATGGGCACCAATGGGCGAACGTTGATGGTTATGAGGAATTTCGGACGGATATAACCATCCGCCTGCGCGGCTCAAATACATCTGGATGCATGTTGATCCAGCGCACCTAGGTCTTCCGGATACCGGGGGTGTTGCCCATTGAGGAAGCAGGAAGGGCCGTCTGCATGTCCAGCATGTAAACTATGCAGTAGATCGCAAGCGAAGCAGTCGTGCCACCCGTATGTACGAGGCGGGTCTTCGCAAATAGTCCAGACATCGGGGCATACACCAGGGCAGACTCCAGAACCTGGACCTCATGAGCAAGCCGCAATGCAGCAAAAAAAGGACGTACGAGAATTCGTGGACCGAACGCGATGGAGGGTTAAGAGGCAAGGGATGCAAGGATGAGAATACGCGCTGTACGGCGCGGGCTGGCTAGCTCAAAAACACCCCATCCTCCGATGATCATTTAGCGCGGATGCCAAGGCCGACGACGTTTGTAGGCTCGATCCCGAGGTTGCTCTTACCTAGGTAACGACACATCAACGCTTCGCTCTTCGCATGCGAACATCCATCCTGCTGGTCTCAAATACTGACGCTCCATCATCACTGCACGCATCAATTCCATGACAATGTCAACGAGACACAGCAGACGCGTCTTGCGCGGCCTAGCTTCGCCGTAACGCGTGACGTCATAGCCTTGAGCGGGCACACGTCTTTCAGATAATGGCCATCAACAAGAGAAGGAGGCTGGATTATGCAAGAGACAAAATGAGGGAGGCCTCTTGGGAATCGTATTTGGCGTCGAATCAGCCTGGGACTGTTGCCTTGCGCATCCTGGGTTTGTACTACACGCACGCGCCACACAGCCACACCATTGGGCCATTCACTGAGCGGAATGGCGCGTGGTCTTCCAATGCATGAAGCAGAAGAGCATATCAGATATGGCGTGGACATTTCAGTGTACTCAGCCTTGTTTTTTTTTTTTTTTTTGCAGACAGCGACGCCCATGTCGCGGCGAAGTGATGAGGCGGTGGGCAATCGCTGCGCAGCCCTGGAGTGCTCAAGTGAAGGTGAAGTCTGTTTGCCTGTTTAAGACAACAACAACGCGCACAGTCGAATTTCACCTCTTTCAAGCGAGCATTTTTCTTGCGTCGTACAGAGATTTCGTCCACCGTCTTTCGTCTTTTTCCCCACCTTGGACTACCGCTCTCGCTACCACGACACCACACTTTCTCCTCATTGTTTTTGGTCGCGACTGTTGCTATTCCATCTTCGCTACTGGGTTAACACCCTGAATATTATTCTGCATTCTGAATAGACAGACCGGATAGCTAAGCCCATTAGGTACGTGGGGTCCGTCGCGCCTGCAGCGCAAGTGCTACTCGCACAGCAGATACCTATACCCTTAAATATGCTCCTTTTCAGGCAAGGTTACACAAGCTGACTCATGTATCATATAGTGTACTCCCTGTGGTGTCTACACCATGGCGTCGGCAGCGGCTACGGCCTACGCCTATCACCATTTGGTACTTCCTCCGAAGCTCCCGCAGCAGGACGACCGCAACGCCGCGCACGACTTGACTCTTGTCAATATTGCCATTCACGCCCTTGAGTCTCTGAAATCCTTTGTCAACAGCGAGCATGTCGGCTCAGTCGAAGTCGCCGTCATAACAGTCAAAAATCTTCGCAGGTGCCGGGACCACCATGGCAATAACAGTGAAGGTCAAGTTCAAGACGTTCTTGCCAATGTCGCAAACGGCGTCGCTACTGGTAAAGTTCCACTGGAGATTAAAGAGCAGAATGCCGGGATTCTTGTCGGCCGATCTTCAGACAACTTGGTCTTCGAGTTCTTCGAGCTTTCTCCTACGAACGAGGCGGCTATGCATCCAGGCCGACTAGTACGAGAGTTTCCTGCCCATGCATCACAGATACCTATCGGAAAGGTCAACCCCGATCTTATCGAATCGATCTCCAGGACCATAGCTACAATGACGACCCAGACAGCTCCTGGCTTCCAGCCCAAGATAACCAAAAACAACAAGAGCATGGACGAACAGCGCGACACGACGCATCCCGGCATGACAACCGACTTCTTCTCGAACCTTATCGCTGCTTTCGGTGAGCCGACAGATGTACGCCATAGCACGAAATATACCCGGGAAGAGGTCCTTTGGAATGACTGCTTTGCACCATGGCGACGGTCCCCATTATGGCTCTTGTTACGCGTATCGCTACAGCTGCTGTTCTCCCGACAAGCACCTTCCAGTCTCCATGCCGACGGTCTGTACAAAGCCTTCATGATCTTTATGCTATCACGATTACTCGATCTGGGGAAACAGCACTGGAAAGATTTGGGTAGCGAGGCGATTCATATCACATTAGCCAAGTTATCCCGACGGCTACGCAAGTTCGAGCTTCTCAAGCAAGAAGGGTACCTACAGCCAGGCTGGGCACAACATATTCATGACCGGATGATTAACGCCCACAAATTCATCAAACATCACTGGCAGGATCAGATCGACAACTCTCAGGCCAATATCGACTTCAGCACCGTTGCCCAGCTCAAGCCTAAGGCCGATGTCGACATGAAACTCTCCGGGTTAGATGCATTCTTGTTGGCGGTCACGTCTCGTCAGCGAGAAGTCTCGTCGTCTACCTTCACTCCCACTTCCGGGTATCCATCTTATCCAGCTACTCAATTACCGGAAAGC